GGGAAAAAGAAGAAAAATAGTATTAATCCTACTTTTGGTTTGACTATGAATTAAGCAAACTTTACTACAAGTTTCTGAGGTCTTGTTGAAGGCACTCTTACATGCAAAGTCTTTGATGTTTCTGAACATGCTGGTAGTGTCAAAAATTTGTGCTGTTACCTCTCATAAATGACATAAATAATATGTTGAGGCTATTTCCATGAAATAAAGGGGAAAATAATATGCTGAGATTCTGTCAGAACACTTCTGCTGTATTGTCCTGTTTTTGGTGAGAGTCCTGATGATGAAGGGATGTTGTAGACAGTGAGTGTCAAAAAGATGTGTCTAAAATGTTGTCCTAGCATGTTGTTAGTATAGAAATTGGCTTACACCCAGATGCCTGCCTTATGGATCTTAGAAGATCAATGGATGGGCAAGAAAGCAAGAATGTGAAATACAAGTGTATGCTCGTGTGTGGTTTGCCTGACGTTGCCCTCATCTCCTGTGACTTCCTGGGTGGTTTGCTGAAAAGCTGTGCCCAAGGCCAATTAAAAACCCACCAGCCTAGGGAGAGTTCCATTGCAGAAGGGTCAGCAGCAATTCCAGCCTTGAAGTTAGATGCTCAGGTCTGTGTTCAGGTCTATTGATAAATTTTAATTTAATTTAATAGTAGTCTTTTGCTGCATCTATTTAGTGTGTCATTCCAACACCTCAGGACTCCAGTGGTTCAAGGTGGTGGTTTAAAGGCTCCCAGTTGCTTGTGTTGGTGGCATGGCACTGTATTTTCCTGGCCAGGTGGGTAGGCAGTGGCCCAGATTGAGATAGGCAGCAGTGATCACACCAAGTTTGCATTGATCAGTTGCTTCTGTCTTGTGTCAGAGCAGTATTACTGTTTGCTGTTTGGTCTGTAGTAGAACCCAGAGGCTGGAAATGCTGGTGGAGTTTGGTAGCACCAAGAGGAGGAGCAGGACAAGGAGAAGGAGGAGGAAATGCCATCCCCATAGAACCTACAACCCCAGCTCCCTTGCTTAATTCCAGGGAAAATAAAATTAATGTTTATGGCTGATGAAAATGCCCTTCTTCTCCAATACCTGCCTTTGGTGGAGGTGCCCAGCAGCAACCTCTGCCAGGATAAATTTCAGAGACCAAACAGAAAACCCAAATTTGCCAAAATAAGGGAGACTTAAGCCAGCCTATTTTTAGAAGATACTCTGTGGAGACAACAAAGTCTAATTTTAAACAGCCTTTACTGTTGCAGTAACTTACCATTTCACATGTGACCTTGGGAGTTTGTTAAATCTTGTTAACAGCCTGTGTCCCACTTAGCTTCAAAGTCAAGCCTTCTTCTCCATATCCTGCTATTTTCAAGGCACAACATGAACACCATTATTATTATTAGGGTGTTCTGGTCTTTAACAGTTATGTTTTGAGAACATTACTTCAAACAATTTAAGGTCTCTTCGTGGTAACTGTGGGTTCAGTGTTTTTGTGTGTGCTAATCTCCACTTAATCTTTCTTACCACTGCAAATAATACGGAGGAATAGATGCCTTTGCAGAACAGCACAGCTTGGAAATTGTGCTTTATTCATTACTGGCTGTGAAAAAGTCTGTTTTTCCACAAATTGACTTGCATACTCTAAATTTTAGAGATATAAGAGGTTCTCAGATAGCAGCATGGGCTTCTTCCTTAGGAATTACATGTTGTATCTATAAAATTCTCTCAAATACTTAGAGTTGATCCATTTGTGGCAAATGAAGTGGAGGGGGTTTGGTCCTTCCCTGTGAGAGCCTCTACAGTTTGCAAGCTGTATGTCGTATTCGCAAAGGCTCAGGGCAAGAGGCTCACCTCTGAACATGACTCTGCTTCCCTTCCTTAGTGAGCCACTCCCATGGCACTTCAGCAGAGCAGCCAACGGAGCAGCAAGTACAGTTGGCTGTAGGACAGAAATCCAACTGACAAGTCCTTGCAGACAACAGATCCTTAATATATTTTGGTCTTCTGCAAGCTGTCACCATTCAAAAGTCGTTGGCAGCTATGTGCCAAAGGATGCTCAAGGCTGCAATATTCAAGCATCCATTCCACAAGGGACCAGGATGGCAGGGAAGGGAAGCAGCAGCCCCTCTGTGGGGGATGCTTTGGGCTCCAAAGACAGTTCTGTCCTTGGTTTTGAAGGCTGGCAAGGAATTGTGGGATCGGTGAGAGGGTTTGCAGTCTTGAGAGGCTTGTTAAAATGTGTAGCTCTCAACCTTTTCCTACAGTGTGCTGTCATAGGACTGGCTTGGGAAAACAGCTGAGAAACAAGTGGGACCAGAGCATCAAGAGGTAGACAGGGATGGGGTGGTCTAGCCCATGGGCTTTCAACTGTGACTGAAAATGAGCAACAGAAACCTTAGTGCACAATTTGGGTGCACCTCAGTTCTGCACATCTCTTCTGCAGCAGGAGCAGCAACAGAAGACAGCTGTGGGCAGGGGCAGCACCTTAGGAGCAGCCAGGCGTGCTGCGTGGGGCAGCAGTGCTTAAAGGGATCACCATTGCACAGCTGCCAAGCTCCCTTGCCAGATGGCACCATCTCTACACTGCAGCACTGGAGCAGAGGTGGTGACGAGAGTGTGCGTGAGCATGTGACTGATCAGCAGTAAGTTCTTCTTTCTTCCCATCCATCTCCCTTGTGAGGGTGTGAGCAGACTGTGAGACCTAACAAACCTCAAACCCACTGACAGCAAGTTTGCAGAGCCTCTAATTTCCGCTGTTTACCAGGCAGGTCCCCCGAGCCTCAGTCAAAACCTTGCTGGTGCAAGAGCTCCCTGTCTTCCCACCCTTACTCAGCAAACTGCCAGCAGCACCCCCCAGACATTTGTATTCAATCACAGAATTTAATCACAGAAAGCAAATTTTGCCTGGCCACAACTTTGAAAGGGACAAAAACAAATGCCTCAGGTCACAAACTGTTATATCTGATCCTCCCTCCAGATTTACCATGGGATTTTTTTCTCCACCCGTTATGTGGTGTTGGTGTCAGAGTCTCCTCCTGGTCAGATGAATCTTATAAGAAACTTGGTTATTAATCAGATTTTGTGGGGATTTAAGGAAAGTTGCAAACACAAACAGGCAAGCAGGAAGTTCTCACTGTCCTTATGAAACGACTACCACTGTTTCTCTGTAAAACCACACTTGCATATTTCCTCTGCTGTAACTTCTCATGCCTTTCAAGTTCCCCAGGGGAAGTGAGAAGAAAAAAACTCATCAGAGAAACAGATCAGGAGTGAGAGAAATGATAACTGATGATACCAATGGCACATTTAGGGATTTTGGGGCATAAAATAGGCATAACATCCATATGCCTCTCTTGAGTTGCTATCACTACTAGCCATCCACAAATCTGAAATTATTTAAATAGTAAACTTAAATATGAAGGGTTCTTAAAAATCAAGGAAACTAGTTAATAAGGAAAGCATTCAGCCTAGGAATAGCACACGTCACAAATGAGTGCTAATGTCAACAGGGCAGGAGATGAAATTTATACTTGAATTGCATTCATGGTTTTGTAGAATCATAGAATATGCTGAGTTAAAAAGGACCCACAGTGATCATGGAGTCCAATTCTTGTCTCTACACAGAACACCCCAAAAATCACACCAGGTCCCTAAGAGCATTGTCCATGCTCTTCTTGAACTCAAGTTTGGTGCTGTGACCATTTTCCTGGGGAGTCTGAGTTTCCCTCAGTTTAGAGCATGCAAGTGTCATCATGAGGACATGTCAGCAGAGTGGTGAGCAGAGGGAGGCTGCCTGTGTCACCCTGACCTGGCCACCATGGGAAGAAGTTCTGACACTTGTCTCTCCACCCTTGCTGAACTGTGGTTGTCAGCTGAACAATAGCTGACTAACACATATCTGAGGGATGTTAGAGGTGGTTTCCAGAACATGGCTCCAACAGTCTTGCCCAGGTCACATTTCTGGTTACATTTTGGTTTGGGCCTTGGTTTAGTAATCAGCTCTCATTGAGCGTAGCACTTAAGCCACAGTATTGTGTGACAAGTATTGGGGTGTAAAGCCTTTGGGATTAGAAGTCCCATACAGCTCCCCCAGTTATTCATATGCCTGTGTGCCCATTGAAAAATAAAAGCTTTTTTCTATTTTTTTTTTTAATTGCTGTCAAGACCATTCTTCCCTCCTGTTCCAGCTCCAAGAGATCAGGAGCAGAAGCCAATACTCAGATGCTTGTTCAAGTCCTATCCTGCCGCAGCCTGAAGCAAAGTGCTACACCCCCACTGACAACTCAGCTTGACTCCTACTAACCTGCTGTGGGCAGGAGCATTAGCTCAGTTTTTCAGTCCCCCTCTTACCCAAACTATGGAAGTGTTTCTTATTCTGCTGGGTCATGCATTCAAATGTGAAAACTGTGACTCATTAAAAGGGCAAGTTTGGACGGAGGAAGGGGGTTACAGGAAGGAAGAAAAACAGCTTGGAAGAGACTTCCTGTTTATCCACAGCTTGGGAAAAAAATTGACACAACAGAATACACACACCCTGGCTCCATTATCTTTGCTGGCACAGTGCTGGCTTGGCTCTGTCCCTTACCGCTCAAGGCCAAATCCATCCCTGCCGCGAGCGTGTTTACTTGAGAGGAGTTTACTCCAGAGAGGAATCCGGTGCCCGGAGCCTGAATGCTCACAGCGTGCGAGCAAACGCGGGGCACCGGAGCCCCGCCACAGTGCCCCGGCCCCGGCCCCTGGCCGCACCAGGGAGGGCGCTTTCTCCTCGCCAATTAGCAAAGTGGTGGCATCGCTAAAAGAAGTTGAATAAACACATTCAACCCAGCTGGGTTTCCCAGTTTGCTCTGTTCTCACCACTCTTCCTTCTGGGCGCATGGTGGGGCCCCAGCAAGCTCGGTGCCTGTGCACTGCGCTTTCATTCAGGTCTGGTTGGAAAGAGCTTTTAGGAGAGAGGAGGAGGGGGGAAGTAAGTAACCCTTTTGGCTTTCTTCTTTTACAACAACTGTCTTCTCTTTTTCTTTTCAGGGAGGAAAAATGCCAGCTTCTCTGAAAAAGCTGAAGCAAATGGCTATTTTCATGGGACTGTTCAGCGGCGGGGGATGCATCGTGATGTATAATCTTATGCAAAGTAAGTCTTGGTGTTGTTAGCAACCTTATTTCTCCTCTGCCCCTTTCACTGGCTTTTGTGTAGTGAGGAAAATAGCAGCATGCGAGTTGTGAAAAGCAGATTAAATTAAGGCAGGAACTTCTGGGTTCTGCCTCTGTAGGTTCCACTTTTTTCATCCTCAGTGGTTTTGCTCTCCCAAGAGCTGCTATGTGCATTTCCAGAGGCATCTATTGCATAGGGAGCAGGCTGTTGTGCTCAGGAGAAAGTCTGTTTTTTTGGGGGGTTTCCTGAGGGTGATGGTGAAGAGAAAGCTTCACCTGCAGTAATCCAGGTTTCATTTCTTAACTGAGATTTTGTAACTGGGCAGTAGAAGAGGACCGTCTGTGAGAAGGTGTTGAAGTCTAGCAGTTTTATCTGTAAATCTCTGTGTGGTGCTGGCCCTTAAATACAACATACCTGTGAAGTGCTAAGAAATCATGAGTTTCTCCTGAATGAAGTACAGATAAGAGCAGTCAGCACTGAGAAGACCAGGACAAAGAGAAAAGCTAGACAGGTGATGTTGCTATTTATATCTAGTTGTTTATTTCTAGTTGCTATGTGTCTTTGGCCAAGAATCCACATTATTAGTCCAAATAATAGATGTTTATTTTTTCTAAAACTGCTTTTAGGTACTTAGCATCAGAGCAGAAATAAGCTCGGCCTCTCTCTCAGAGAGTGCCACAGGCCTCTTGGCCCTTTGCCTCTCCCTTGTTGGTGCTATCAAATGGTATTGCTTTTAACCACCCTAATACCAGAGGATGCTGCCAGAAAAAAGTGTAACCAAGCCTGTTTCTCAAGCCCTCAGATAAGCTCTGAAACCTCCCCTTCATTTTACACATATTAATAACAAATCAGACAGGGCTAGAAAGCAGGCTTTAATTTTAGGCAGCTCATGCCCCCAGGCTCTGGAGTACCTGACAGAAATATGATGCTTATGCTGTAAAATATTGAATCTGGCTTTAACAAGGACATTAGCATTTTTTAATTTTCAGTTTTAGCACTGTTAGTCACCCCCTGTGCTACACAGCAAGCCCGAGGGCTGATTCCCCACATGCCTTGGCTGTGCAGTCAAGTGGCACGTTGCAATGGCTACTTCTGGCCCTCTTGTAATTTCAGTGGCCACTGGGCAGCTGCCTGATAACTCAGACAGGCTGCTGAAAGGACATTTTCTGCAGCCAAGTGTGTCCTTCTCTATCCTCTAAACAGACACAGCAGCCACACTTAGAGCCTTCCTCCCTTGGCTCATGCCTGGGGCTATCCCAGTGCCTTCTGTCCAGTGCACAGAACTGGCCTATACGTGGACTAGTGAGGAGCGAGTGGCCTCCACAGTGGTGGGAGCAATTGGAGAGGGTCCGATCCCTTCCCTTCCTTCAGGCTGAAGGGAAGTTTGCATGCACGTGGTCTCTGTGCAAGCTTGTACAAATACTCAGGTAATCCTATTTCTACTTATTCTCATCACCTCCACACCCTTCTCATGGAAGCAGTCTGCTCAGGCAACTCCAGCATGCTTTCAGCTCCCCTGCCAAAAGATGTGGGGACAAATGGATTAGTTGGGCATTTAATGTCTAATGCATGAGATGCTAACAAGGAACAGCTGAGAAGTAACACCAGTAAATTAGAATCCATTTCTCCTCCAACCTGCAGGATGAACACAACATACTTTTCACATAGTCTGAATGGCTGTTTGCCATGATTTATAGGTACTAAAGGGTGAGCATGCTGCAACAGCTTTGGTTGGAGCTCCTTAGAATGTGCCAGGGGACACAGGAGGACCAACACAGGTAACAGCCTAGCAAAGCTGTTTCTATGCCAACTGGATGCTGCCTGCTCACAGGGGATTGCCTCTAATTAGGGTGAGGGGGCAGCATCCTTCTGCTTCATGCTCCAGGATTGATACTGACAGGCAAGAGACCAATAAACAAACCTTACACCTTGTTTTAAACCCTTTGAAACATGAAGGCAAAGTTGCCAGAGTAGGATTTAACAACCACAAACTCTTAGCTTAACTCTGCCCTTCTTGATGTCAAAAGAGTGAAGTTAAGCTGATATGGAAACCCCAATAAAGCAGCCTTAAAACTGCTAAAAAGCGAAGCTCTGTCTCCATAAGGAGGGTCAGGAAGTCTCCAGCTCTTCAGCTGTGGCCTGTCCATTGGTGACCACAGTACAGCGTTTCACAGAGCAGCAACTGTCCTCCATGAGCCAACACCGCAGCGTCCATCTGCAGTGCTGTTGTGGCTGCTTGACCAGTAACTCGAGTGGTGCTTCTGAGTGCCTCCCTCCTAAGGCATCTGTCAGCAGAGTTGTAGCTTCATGGCTGCCACTTGGAAAGCTGCACCAAGACCACAGCTAGAGTTCCACAGCAGCAGTTGTTCGCCTCTCAAAGTCTGCAAGATAGTCTCTATTCTTAAAGTATTTTATGTACCTCAAATAGAAAAAAAAAATAGAGTTTTTATCAGAATATTTCAGATATTCATCCTTATACCTTTTCTCCCCTTCCTTTTAGATAACCTACAAATGTATGAAAACAGGGGAGACACAGCCATAAGCTGAGTTGTAGCTCAGAATGGAACAGGCCATGTTTAGAGCCCTCTTCACTTAATGAGCTGAATAACATTTTCTTCTCTGATGTAAGGGTGTGTTTCCTCCTTTAGCCAAATTTCTCCTAATTAGTAGTTTTGGACTGTATTTCAGGGAGGGTGTGGTAATCTGAAGAAAATGCCTTTTTCTCTTTTTTTAAGCTTATGTTTTGATTTTAAGTGAAAAGTCTTCTCACTACCCTGTTTCTCTCACATAGAAAGTTTTGCCAGGACCCAGTATTACCAGCAAGCTTTGGAGCAACTGAACAGCAATCCTGATGCCCTGGAAGCCCTGGGTGCCCCCCCTCTTAAGGTTCACAACATCCACCTGACAGATGGGAGCAATCGCGTGGACACAGAAAGAGCGCGGGTAACGCTGGGCGGGCGGTGTCACAGGGTGGCTTCCTGAGATGTCAGGTGACAGGAGATCAGCCAGGGGATTTTCAGCGGGTCATGAGTCACCTGGGGGCACTGGAAGGAAGCAGGATGGAATACCAGTTGATCTGGAAGAGGAATGGATTTCCAGAGCATAAATCTCCTAGCTTAGAAACAGTAGGAGCAGCATCTCCCTGTTGTGCTGTATGGGCCCGTCACACAATGCTGAGGAGCCTCTCAAGACAATCAGTTCCCCCCTCACATGGTAAAAGCCACAAAAGCATTTTCAGAGACATATCAGATCCAGCTTTAAAATAGCACCTGCCTTCCTTTACCCCCCCCAGATATGACCCATGCTAGTTTTTAGGGCTTTATTCAGAGCAGTTTTACAGCTTCTTACAGTCTGTGCTGTGGTACAGCATAAATGGTGTGGTTTTTAAGAGCACCTGTAAGTTTGTGTCATTGAGAGCAGCTGCCCAGCCTGAGACTGAGCGTGATGGTTACTCAGTGACTGGAGAATGCTGTGCTGGCTGCTGAAGTATTGCACAAGGCTGCCTTGTATCAGCTGAGGGCTGGGCCCAGGCAAACCTTGCAAACGCAAGTCCACTTCCACTTGGCATTGAAGCCCCAAGAGTACTTCCTATCAGTGTTTTTACCCCTTAATCCAGGACTGGCTGCCCTTCCCTTGTTTTGTTAGTAACACCGAGTGCCCCTAGCAACCTCTTCAGGTCCTTCACTAGGGTAACTCATCACATTGGAATAATTTTGTTTTTACTGGTGAGTAGTTATGAATGCCAGGGACCAAGCAAGGGCATTAAGGAATGAGTCAGATGGTACAATGAAGGAATGTGGCTATCAGGGTAAGATGAAAAAAACCCCAACCTTTAACCAGCTCACATAAAATTACTTTCCATTTCACTTCAGCCAGGCTGCACTTACATGATACCCTGGACCAAAACATTTCCTGCATTTCATAGATTCCACCAGGGAACATATCTAAGGAAAAAAGTTGTGCAAAATCCCACACAATCTTATATACTGACTGAAAAGAAGATAACCTTTCCCACGGGTGTTTTTCTATGTCACTGTTTAAGAATGCTAGTTACTTGGGTGACTCAGGGTGAAGTCAAACCCTGCCTTCTACCGACCTCACCCAAGACACAAATCATCAACTTTCTTCTCTGCTTTTTCATGCTCTTAAGTATTCATGTTCTCATGAAATAAACTGGTTAATCATCATTATGCCACAGGTCAATTTACAGACTTTACAACATTCTCAGCTCCTGGGTCTGTTGGCAAACACCTGGCATTGTCTCTGTGATTGCATCACCACCAGCAAATGCTGCACCTGAATAATTTCTTTTATTCAGGCATTAGACCCAGTGCAATTGGCCATGGTTGCTGCTGCAGCTCCAGCTTTGTTTGTTAAACAGATAAATGATAAAATTTGTGACACCAAAAATAAAAAGAATCACTGAACATCTCATTGCCTCAGTGTGTGTTAAGGACTGATATGCAGAGGATCTCTAACCTACAGGCTAGTAATGGTTATGGGAAGCTCTGACAGTTCAGGTCACCTCTGGATGACCATACATTCTGCTAAGGAAAGGTGTTTGCTCATAAATATTTCAGGGATCCAGTGGTTTTCCCTGGGGGTTGCAGTTGTAACACAGCACATTCTTTCGCAGAGAGAGATTAATGCATGGCAGAGCAGACATACTTGTATAGCCACACACACGTATTAGCTGTTAGAGTAGATCAGTCCAATTCTGAAATACAATAAAAAAATAAATTATAGTGTTAAAAAGGTGTGAGCTCTTTGACTAGAAGAGGTAAATGTCTGTTTCATAATAAGCTTTGCTGAATCTTTAATGTGCTTTCACATTTGCAGATAAAGTTACCAGTCTCTGGAACAAAATCAGCGGGCTACCTCTACATTAACTCAAAGATGGACCACTCCCGTCAGTGGTGCGTACTGGGGGGTAACAGGAGAAATGGGAAAGTGGTAGGGGAAAAGAGTAGAGCAGCATATTTGCTTTAGTCATCCATGGTGCTGAGGTCATGCACACAAGTCAAGCAGAAACTCGTGTCTGAAGCTCTTGTCAAAGGTTATTATTTTCATTAGGACAAAAATGTAATTTTGAATCCTTCTCTCTGGATGTGAATAGAAGAGGAACATGTGCCCTTCCTGTTTGTTAAATGTGTTCTGCAAGCTGTAGCTCAGTACATATCCAAATACTGTGAGCCAAGGTGAAGTGTGGTCTCCTCCCACCTCACCTCCCCACAGAGGTGCAGAGGCTGTTGAGCAGCAGTCCTAACTCTGGTCTGGTATTACGGATTGCAGTAAGGGAATCACGCATTATATCACAGCTCTGCAAGGCGAGCTGAAAACACAGGATTTGTTTTTCTAAGCTATCCAAGAAGTGTGGTCCTTATGGTTAAAAAAAAGTGCTAGAATGGATGCATTATAGTAGAAGGGTACTCTGATACCATATCATATAGAAGTGACTTTACATTTTCGTAATACTGAAGCCTCTAAACCTCCTTTGTCAACAGTAAACTGGTTTTTGGATCTGAGCAAAGAATTACTACATTAACTCAAAAGTTTTACTAGATGCAAACCTCTTGTGAGGTACTTCTATTAGCTCTGTTTAGAAACCAAAAAACTACAAAACTTTTACTCAACTGCCCCCAGCCATATGGTGATGTTTTCTATTCATAATTAGATGAGCATGACTTACTGGATTTCTCTTCTAAGTATGGGGAGGAAGAGACAGGCACTAGGCTGGGACTTGAGAAACTCAGTACTGGACCTGGCCTCCTCCCTAATAAACAGGGATAACCCCAAGGGTCTGCAGCCCCATTTCTTGCACACCTCACTTCCCTGGTGCCTGAGCTGTGATCTCCTCACTCCTCCTTAGCCCCTCCTCACAGACAATTCCCTGTTATTCCTTGTTCACAGTTACTATGAAGGTAACTGAAGATTGCAAAATGCAAAACTCCCAAGAAATACATATGCACTACAGCAGTGCATACACATTTCTTGGAGTTTTGTTTTAAATGGGCTCTTTTTACATTTCTGCAAATCTAAGGAAAAGAAAAGGCATCTGCTTGTAAAAGGATTTGTGGCAGATAAATCTGTCAGACTCCACCAAATCCACCCACGTGCAGTGTCCTGTGCACAGCTTCACATGGGGCTAAGACAGGACTTGGTGCCCTTGCATCCTACTGAGGAACTAAAAGTAAAACTGCTGGGAATAAGGAGCAGATAAGCAGGCCATCCTGATGGGATGCTGCAGAGTTCATGTGTGCTTTTCCAGGGCAGCTCTTACACTGATACAGACAGAGCTCAATGACAGCTGTAGTTGAGTGCTCTGTGCAAGAGTAGCTGAGGCACCAGAGCCACTGAAATGCATCTTTGTGCAGAATGTCTGTAGTGTTTTATTTCTTTTATAAAAGAGAAGACAACTGAAAAAAAAAATTTGGAGTCTTTGACTTCATTTGGTCCAGAGGGAAGTGGCATTTACCCAGAGGCAGGCAGTACAGGGATGGGGAGGATGCCCAGAGGCAAGGGCAGCCAAGGCACTGCAAAGTTACTCTTGCCTGCCCTGAAGTGACCAAGAGAAGGACTCAGCCCCAGGCCACACTGGGGAACAAGCAGGTCACCCCCAAGTCCTGTTGCTTGGCCTGGGTTGGGGGTGGGAGCAGAGGGCTGCTGAGCAGAGCTGTACTGCAGACCCATTGCACAGAGGTGCAGCAGCCTAATTACCTACTCTCCACTGACTCCAGCAAAAGCAGAGCTGGGCCAGTGCCAGGAGCTTTTGAAAATATCCTATTTTAGTACCCCAAAATAATAGTCCTTTCCAGCTGGAAAAGCAGCATGAGCAGTTTCTCAGAAGTGGGTTTGGAGCAGAGCTTAGAGGAAGGAACAGGCTCCCCCTCCGTCTCCAACAAATGCAATTTTCCTTCTTAGAGTAACCACTGTTGTACCCTGTCAGGTTTTCAGCAGTCACATTGAGCGATCACACAGTGTTCAAACTCTTCCAAGCCAGAATAATTCCTTAGCAACACTGTCTGGCTCCAAGGCTGGAGAGGAGTGGAGCAAGGAATGCACCCGCAGGACAGAGAGGAAAAAAAGCACCAGGTCAGGGAAGGAATGTCCTAAGAAGAGCTGGCAAGTTTTTATTTGTATTACAACAAATAGGAACATGCATATCAGACCTTAAAATCTGGCCTATGCCACGATATTAGGGAGACCAGTTTTCAGAAGCTGGCACTCACAAACCAAGTTTTAAAACACTTGAGGGAATTTTTAAAAGCACCGAATGTGTGGAATTATTTGTTCCTCTGAGCCAGCTGTTTCCACACTGACTTGACCATGTTAAAAGTGATTGCTACAAGTTAAAAATCTTCTTTGGTTTGTGTCAGCTGGTGCCTTCAGGATGTCACCTTGAAACTGCGGGATGGTCCAAGTATTCCCATTTACCACTCTCCAGTGGAAAGCATTGGTGTGCAAGAAGGCTAAAAATCAGGGACAGCTGCATCTCCGCCTCCCATTGAGCCAAAGGAGCCATTAATCGATTGCATCCTGCTGTGTCTGTGAATGTACACAGTTGTCACAAGTGACAGTTTCACTTAAGCGGGTGCTCTCAAGACAATTTTCTCTCTAAGATTTACCTTATTATTGTTGTAATTGTAATTTATTTCTTTTGCTGGTTTAGTCACGTGTTTAACAGAAGTCTAAAATAAATATCTTGCAAAAGAGTTGCTGTTGCAGAGAAGTCATGTGTTATGCCCTGTGTGTGCTGGTATTATGAATTTGAAATAAATGAACTGCCAGGAAACTGAGCATTGTTTTACAGTGGACCAAAATCAGGACAAGTCAGTTTCTCAAAGCCTTGAGAAGCCTTGCTGCCTCAGTTCCTCCCCATTTCTCAAGGTCTTGCCTAAATCAGGAAGGATGAAGCAGCAAAAGTGAAGCTCAGCAGCAGCACCCACTTGTCAGGTAGATTTGGACCCACTCCACTTATCAGGTGGATTTGGACCTTCACAGTTATCTTTGCAAAGCTCATGGGATAGCTGAGGCCACTCAACTTAGGAATTCCAGGAAGAGACCTGCTGCTTACACTGAAGGTTAGTCAGAAGAAGCCACTGGTTCACACCAGCACTGCCTGATGAGTTTTGAGAGGACATTTAGGGAGAAAACCATTTAGGAGGGTGCAGAACAGATGAAGGCATTGCTGTGGTTTCCTCTGACTATGACAAGAGATTTTGACTGTGCCATCAGGCAGAGAATTTCCCATCACCAAGCAAGTTGAGGAATAAGCAAAACACCCCAAACTAACAAAAAAACATCCCAAACCGAAACAATTTCCAGTCCCATCCCAAAAGGCCCATGCAAACAATTGCAAAACCTAAGACACAGTCTGAGGGACAAAAAAAAATACAAGTAACTGTCCTGTCTGTAGCAGGAAGTAACACAGGAGCCCTTAAGAACATCCAGACAAAAGAGTGTTTTGAATTCACTGTAATAGAGATGTTTAATCTCTAGATTAAGAGTGGCTGTAGCTAAGGATAGCCCAGAGCTTATACCACTCCATTCTCTGTTCCTCACCTCTCCATCTCATCTTCCAAATTTGAGTCCAAGAAATCCAAGGACAAAGGCACTGTAAAGCTTTTCAAGAGCCATGAGTATTAGACAGAGAAGGGAGAGCTAGAGCAAAGAATTTTAAGAGCAGTGAGCATTTCTTTGTTTAAGAACAACCCAGCAAACTGGGCAAGGTGGCTTTTGAACAAACCTGAAAAGCAAATGCCTAATTGGAAAAGAGATGCTAAAGAACCATAGCAAAGGCATCTTGGAGAAACAATTTTGAAATGAAACAATACATGTGTGCTTTAGTTTGAACTTCACAAAGAGCTGTCAGGATGAACAGCACTTGTGACACCTGAGCCAACCCACATGAAAGCCCTGCACACAGGGGAGAGGATTAGAATTAAAGACAGCATTGCCCAGCTTTAAGATTGAAATTGCTGTTTACTAGTTTCACAAAACAAAATACAAGCCAAATCGAATTTCATATGATATGAAAACATTAGCCTTGCACTACCACTAGCAAGAATAACACCTCAGGGATATGGAAATCTGCTGGCCACCTGGTGCCTCAGAGCTTGATTGACTCTAGCTTTTGGTCACTGAAGAAGTTTGGTGGGAAATCAAAACAGCTGACAATAAAAAGCCAAGACAACCACTTCCCATCCATCAATTACCACTTCCTTGGCTGCAGCTTTGATTTGTTGCTAATCTGCAGAAATACCATGGCTGTGGAGAGGAAACCCAGCCTATTCAGTCCCTCTCTGTGACTGCACTGGGAGCATCTGGCACACATTGCCATTTATCTGCCTTTTGTCACCTCTGTGTGCTCAGTATGCCTGGGACCTGCCTTGGCTGCAAAGTCCTCAAGTGTCGAAGGAATTTGGCCACAGCCACCCCAGTTACAGCACAGCACTTGCTCACCACCTCCCTGTCCTTGGGCTGGCACACACAACATCCCCATGCTACCATCACAAGCTGCTGCACCACAACACCACTGCCTGGCCTGGCTCCAACCCTGGATTTTCCAGGCCTGGAGGAGTTATCCCCACACAAACCTTACAAGTAACACTGGGGATTTTATTACCTTGCCTGGGGGAAGTACAGCTTGCAAAGAGGCTCCATCTCTCATTTTCTCCCTTGAGCAGCTTTGAGGGCTCTCAGTCACCTCACCAACCCATTGGTTCCCCAGAGCTTTGAGAATGGGCCATTTCATATCATACCAATGGTTCTCTTAATCAAATCTTAAACCCAGAGAAGGAGTAAAGCAAGGGGTGCAGCTGGAAGCCAGCAAATCAATGGGAGGGCACAAGTAAATTCACAATTCCCTGCCTTTGTTTTACTAACTAATAGCCAGAGAACACAGAATTTCTTGCTTCATGACCTTGAAGAACCTCAGAAGTCACTTCCTCTCCATGTTTGGGCTCTTTTAAGATGCACATATTCAAAAGGAGAAAAAAGCATCAGGCTGGTGTGTTCAGTGCCAAGAAGCTTTGGTCATGTGGCTCCTATTAAATAAACCACAGCCCAAGGGGGCTGCTTTTACAGAGGACACAGGTGCAGCAGGAGCAGCCAAGGGAGCTGGAACAAGCCAGGAAAACAGGGAGAGCAAAGGTCTCAGAACCACCAGCAGCTGCTGAAAGCCCACATAACTTCAAAAGGGCACCTGGGCATCCCTCTTGCAGTCTTTTATTCTGATGAGCACTGGAGCAAGATTAGGTTCTCTTTAGTTTCATCATGTCATGGATCACTGGTTTCTTCTGTTTTTTTTTGGTTTTGGGGTTTTTTTTTTGTTTGTTTTGTTTTTTTTTGGCGTTTTTTTGTTTGTTTTGTGTTGTTTTTATTTTGTTTGTTTTGGTTTGTTTTTTTTTCTTTTTGAGAAAGTATTTATCCTTTGAGAAAAGACCTTGGGTCCCACAAAACACTTAAGGTTGGGAACCTTGGGAGATCATTTAGTCCAAGTGCTTCACTCCCACCAGAGTCAGTTTGAACAGATTACCTGAAAGCATGTCCAGTCAGATGGAGACTCTACAACCTCTGGACAAGCTGTACCAGTGTTCAACCATTCTCACAGTAAAGAAAGCTTTTTCTTCTGTTTAAACTGAACTTTGAATGCTTGAGGGTGTGCTGACTGTCTCTTGTCCTGATACTAGACACTGCCAAAACAAATCTGTCTACATTCTCTTTACTATGCCCCCACACTGATCCCCCCCCAAGCCTTCTCCAATTCCAGGTCTCTCAGCTTCATTAACAGAAGCTACAATCCTTTAACCATCTTAATCATGTTGATTATGTTAAAATACTTCTTTTTAATTGGCTTGAAAATCTGTGCAGTTCCTTTTCCAGTTTTTGGTGTGGTTAAACCAAACATAATTTTCATGACCTTTTGCTGGATTGCCTGTTTATTTCTTATTCTCTAGTTTGATTTTAATAGTTTCTGCCAGGCAGTAATCACCCTCAAGGAAACTACCAAGGTGGCAGACTGTTCAGGGCAAGAATTTAATTTACAGCTCAGGAACAGCAGATACTGCTCAGCAGTGTTACAACACTTGCACCTATTTGAGTTGGAGCTGATGGGCACACAGAGGCTGTGTTTTGAAAAACAAAAAATCTAGATGTTTTGAAAGCACTGCCTTCAAAAAGGCTAAGTGGCTGACATGTTACCTTTGGAGTATGTTTCTCCAAGGGGTGATGGAATTTTGTCCAAGTTATGGGCCACTCAGTTCACTTCCTGTTTTGAGCAGATGTCGTGCACTGCACAGGGAACACAGATTATTTGGATTCATCTCCCATTTAGAAATGAGGATACATCCAGTTTTTTCCTGCCATGTGCTGCATCTTTCCTGCTTGTCAAAGACCTAACTTCCCCGAGTTTTCCACAAAATTTACTACTGAGTTTCCTGCAGCAGGCCCTGGGCAGTCCTGTAATATCAGCAACAATGGAGACCTGCCTGCTCTTGGTGTTACTTTGGAAGATACATCACACCTGGCCAAACGCCTTTGGTTCATTTTAAGTAGCACTAATTCTATAAAAATACTAGACTAAAGTAATTTCTTGACCAATCTAAGGCAGTTTCTATTAATTTGCTTTCCTAGAAGATTTAGGAGCAAAGGACCTTAATTCAGTAACTTCTGAGAAACAGTCATTGTCTCTCTTTGCTTGGTAAGGCCCACAACCTTCCATCCAGCAGCCAGACCAGCTGCATCTCACAAGGTGCTACTGGAAGGTGGAAGATGCTAAGTGATATCCTGACTTCTCTCTAAGGATTAGTTAAAAAACACCTGTGTAATTTAGTCTGTATGCTGGCATTGCAAATTAATTGAAGAGGTGAGGTAAACTGATTTCAACACCTCACCGACTTAGCTTAGTGATTCTACTTTTACAAGCAAGCAAAGACTCAATGTAATTAAGTTCTGTGTTTACAGGAAAAAAGATAATCCTTTCAAATAGTTCCTTTTCCTCTCCTAATTTTGCAGTAATGACTCTGGTCCTATATATTCTGCTTTACTTAGACAAATCCTATCCTTTTTTTAATTAGGAGAGATTTTTATCATATCCATCTGTACTTCCTTTTTTTTCCCTGACTGTTTTTATTAATCCAAATGGCAGCTTAATTCAACATCTGTACCATGAAGAACTTTACAGTGGAAGCATATTGCTTTAGTACGGAAAGCTTTTGGTGCATTTTATATTTGTTGCACATATTGAACAAATGTGTGATTCAGAAAACTAAAATATCAGTAATCCTGCTAATGGGTGTTTCCCAAAGCAGAAAGAACAAAAGACCCATCAGCTGTTCAGAAAACAAAATTTAATTTATTGTAAAATTCCTGAAACAGTAAACACCTTATCAGAAGTACAATGAACTGGCACTATTTCTTTAAAACATTGAACTGTCTTCCAGGAACACCTGAAACATTCAAGGGAGATCTTAAGCCACAAAGTAAGTGATGCAAGGCCCTCTTCCCTCCCCATTCCTTGTGAGCACCACCAGTGGAGAATGGGCAGTGAACTTTTATTTGCATTTGTGACCTAACAGCTCTCAAGAGAGATTCAGGGAGTAGATCACACTTTTGTATTTAGAGACCTGCACACAAAAATGTTAAACATGAGACAAATCACAATGCAAATTCCACGCTGGACAAAAAGAAAAATACTGTTTTGTAGAACATTTAATTTAGCAAC